GACCTTTCATGTCACTAATCCCCTCTCCATGAAGTGTTCTACTCTTTCCTTGCTTAGCTTTTATCCCAATGGGTTTTGCTGAGTAAGGTTTTAATGAGGGAATGCTTCATGGTACTCCAAGCTTAACATAGTATCTATTGTCAAGCTTGAGGGGGAGTGTGAACATGAAGCAATAAAAGGGACTAGAGGAGAATAATTACTCGAATGGTGAAGGTTACACTTGGTTTGAGAAGGTTACAATTGGTTTCAATTGGTTTGAGAGGAGAAGACCGTTGGGAGTTCTGGACAAAGCAGGTGCAAGTGGGTTGAGTTTTATATATTAAATCTCCTGTCCTTGTAAGCCTGATTTGACTTTAAATACATGTTGTAAGCAACCTAAAAAGTCAAGGAAATTGTTTCCCTCAAAATTCTCTTGTGTATCTCTCTCCTCTCTTCTCTCTCTCACAAAAATACTACCTTCTCTCCTCTGTTCTTGTTGTTCTTCCTTCTTCTCAAACAAACCAGTCTCTAAATACTCACATTTCAACAATAAGAATTAATAATAATATCAAATATTTAGATTGGATAATTTAGTAAATTTATATATACAGAAGTGTATTTTCATAAAACTTAGATAATGGTATAGTTTTCAAATAAAAAACTCATATAAATATATTTCTCCAAATTTTCCCTATTCTAATTGTTCTTTTAAAAATCTTTTTTGAGCAATTATGTTTTTTCTTTAAATTTAAATTAATGCCATGTGTCAGCATATTATTGGTCATATGATTTGTGTTTTAGTATATAAGAGATAATTATTTAAAACTCACTTTAATATGTTAAATGGATTATTCTCTAAACCCTACAAACATATATATATATATATATATGGCAGAGAGAAAGAAAGACGAGCCGTCACCGTTGCACCTTGACTTTTCTTGGGTTGTAGCTAGAGTCCAAGCTACCGTCGTAGTTATCCATTCTTGTCGCAATATCAGATCGAAACTAAGAGAAGGAGAACTTAATTAGGGTTATCCAAAAGGACCAAAACAATATGGCGGAGAAGGAGAACTCATCAGAAGCACCGTCTCTGATTCCGTTGCTTCCAGAAGACGTCATCATTGACATCTTAGCACGTGTTTCCAGATGGGAGTATCCAACACTCTCCCTCGTTTCCAAGCAGTTCCGGTCACTCGTTGCGTCGCCTGAGCTATACGCAAGACGATCTCTGCTGGGATGCACCGAACACTGCCTCTACAGTGCTCTCTTTGAGGGAGAAGCCCGTCTTTTACATTGGTATATTCTCTGCCGGAAAGCCAATGGTAATCGCATCTTGGTCCCTATCCGTTCACTTCCCACTCTGACTTTCGGTGAGAGCTTAGTCGCGGTGGGCTCGAAGATATACGTGTTTGGTAGTGGGATTGCTAAAACGAGTGCGTATTACATAGACTGTAGATCTCACAGGGTGGAACCCCTTCCCAGCATGCCTGTGCCCATATCGTATATAATGGCTGATATCATCGACGAGAAGATTTACATAATGGGCTGCTTGGATAAATATGAGAGTGTCCTAATGTTTTTCAATACAAAAACTCACATGTGGGAGCCTGAGATTTTAAAACCAGACATGGAGTTGCGTGGGGAGCGCCACCAAACCTTTTGTGGTAATTATGTGCATCAGTCGATGGTGTTGGCTGATAAGATGTATTTAGGGCTGAGTCCTACTCGTTTCAGTCGTGTGTACGACCCAGCGGAAAATATATGGAGAGAGGATGATATGGATATTATGCGTTCCATAAAGAGGGCGACCGCATGTGTTATTGATGACATGATATACTACTACCCTCGTTACGATCAAGATGACGACGATATTCTTGTTGTTAAATATATACAAACGTATGATCCAAAGCGGAGGTGTTGGGGAGTGGTGAAAGGTTTGAGAAAGCTGTTTTCTAAGATGAAAAAATTCTGGTGTGAGCACACTGTTAATTATGGTGGGAAGCTGGCTTTGTTTTATTGTAAAGAGGTTAAAAATTATCGTAGAGGAAGAGATGTAGAATCCAAGGGGGAGACTTGGTGTGTGGAGATTTCGGTCGAAAGACGTCAAGGAGGAGAAATTTGGGGTAAAGTTGAGTGGTGTGGTCAGGTCCTGGTTGCTGATTCCGGGGTGATGAATTGTCTAAATGTTATGGTTTGATGCACTAACTCTGCTTCATATATGCGTCAACACCTCGCATATAAAAAGCCTATTTATAGTCTTCTGCTGCTTTTCTCTTATAGTGTTTTTTTTTTTTTTTTTTTTTTTTTTAAAATAAGGTTTGGAAACAATAAATATTTTTTGCCAGCCCTTACATTACAATGTATCCAATAAAAATGAGAAACAACTAATCATCGTAAGAGCCAATTTATATATATTCTTATGTTATNTTTTTTTTTTTTTTTTTTTTTTTTTTTTTAAAATAAGGTTTGGAAACAATAAATATTTTTTGCCAGCCCTTACATTACAATGTATCCAATAAAAATGAGAAACAACTAATCATCGTAAGAGCCAATTTATATATATTCTTATGTTATATAGCCTTGAGTAAAGCAGTTTCTTAAACGTTGTAAAAACACAAGATACATGCATGGAGAATAAGACTCATGCTACACAAAACAGAATTAAATGGTTAAAAAACACTAGAAGCATCTGGAGTAATGGGTCTCAGCTATTTTTGGTACAGTGAAAGAAATACATTGTCTTGTAACTGAAATAAGACTCAAACAGTGGTCCCAAACTTAGAGTTTTACCAATCTTTAATCTCATATATATGTCTTTTGATTGATGATCCCCAAACCAGATCCTTTCATATGCTTTTAACAGAAACAATACGACAACTTCCACAGTTTTTTTTTTTTTTAATTATCCATTAGCTTAATTGCTCCTAGCCCTTGCAATTTCTAGAAGCTACGTCACTCCAAGAACATATCCCTCGTCTCATATTTTCTCACAAACACAAAGCCCATGAGGAGCTGGAGAGATTCTCTCACAAGTAACGTTGGTAAAAACACTTATCCTCTTTGAAGTCTCTATGATCAATAATAGATTATAAGGAAACGTTGTTTGTGTCTCCCTTGTCATTTTGCAATGGGATTCAAGGAAAGGAAAGAATGTCCTCATCTCTGCAAACTAGCCGGTGAGAGAGTACGTAAGGAAATCAGATTGGTGCTGAGGAAGACATTTACAGCTTCTTCTCTGTATAGAATTTATAAATCTTAGCAAAATATACTGATTTTCAAATCTAATATGTGAATTTTAATAAGTACTTACAAATCCGAGGGTTTTCCTTCGAATTTTAGTCCTTGTATTTTCAACAAAGAAATCCACACAAATCCACCCAAATTCATTATAACATCAAATCCATTAATGAATCCGTATGATTGAATAACACTTGATTTGAATTAGAATTTATAAATCATGGAACCAATAACACTTGATTTTAACTTGGATTTTAAAATCATGGAACCAATAACACTGAATTTGTTTAGATTTATAAATCTATTAAAATACATAAACCAATAACACCCACTTAACAAATCTAGTTATGGTTTAGAATAGTCAAAGATTTAGGAAAAAGAAAATAAACATAAACATTTCATTATAATGTTTATGAAGATGATAAATTTCATATCACTCTAGGTGTATATAGTTGGTTTAGATTGGATATATAAAAAGCCCAAGTGATCCAAACCAATAGTCCATTGGACATCCTAGATATAAATAATAATCCAAATCCAGAGCAATACAGGTCAACGTGGCGCGTTTTCAAGCGCATAACCGGTCTGTACCGGTTGGTTCACGGTCCAAATATTATTATTTTTTAAAAAAACTCGGAGCATAATTAGGTATCGTCTTCTTCTTGTGTTACAGTAAGAAGAGAGTTGTGTGCTCAGCATAGCTCCACAGCCGACGATATCCACGATTCAAAGGTAGCCAATTTACTCCCCCCTCCCCAATTAATCGTCTCGATTTGATTTCGAACCTGTTCTTACTCACCCATCCTATCGATTTTTTTTTGTCACTGCGCAGAGATTTAAGCTTCAATAATAAAACCTAAAACCCTAAACCCTAGCAGAGATCGAAATCGTTCACGGCAAAAGATGCGACCTCGTCCCCCGCAGCGACCGCAACAACAACAACAACATGTATTTCTTCTCTCTGTCTCTTTCTTTCATTACATGAAAACATAATTTTTTATTACCTCATAAAATAAGAAGTTTGTTTATTGGCTTTGTCTCTGCAGAACAATGTGTATCCTAATCCCCACCAACATAATGGGTATAATCAGAACCCAATGATGATGAATCCACAGATGATGATGATGATGGCTAATCCAATGATGGGTCACATGCCGCCAATGCAACCCCAGTTCTTTAACAACATGCCTCAACAACAACAACCACTTCACCAGTTTGGTTTGCCGCCAAACCCTATCAACCAGTTTCTTCCAAACCTCTTGGGAAGCCTTCAGTTTGCCGCTGCTAATAATAATAATAATCTCATGGGTGCTTTCCAGCCACAGCTTAATTCCTTTAACCCCCCTCCCTATCGTCCTCCTCCTCCTCCACCTCAAATTCAAAATCAAAACCAAAACCAAAACCACCAGTTGGGCCCTCCAGGTTTCTCAGAACCAAGACCACAGGTGATGATGATACTTCTTGGTTCAGTGCTCTTTGTTTCATCCCTGTACTGTCTTCTTTTTTTTAATTTTAACTTGAGTTTCCAGCAGGTGCAGTCTATAGGAAACGTCAACAATTCCAATTCCAAAGGGAATAATTTTCGTAATAATTTTACTAATCAACAGAGGTTCAAAGGCTCTGGTCAAGGGTAAGTTTCTACTACTTGCTTATTTGTTTTATATAATCTTTGTTTTATATGTATTCTGAGTTATTGTAAGATGCTGCAGATCTCAGCCGTATCAAGGAAACAATGCAAATAAAAAGTTCGGGTTCAATAAGAATCATAAGGGAAAAGGTTTGTTCATTTCCATTCGAAATAACAACTTCTCTGTTCTCGAATGATATATATCTTGGTGAATGTCAATTGTTACTAGGGCAAAGACTGTTGTTAGTTGATAAAGTTAGCATTAAGATAGATAATTTATTTCATACTTTTAGTTTTTGAGAATGTTGAAGGTGTTTCCTTTAGTTTTTTTTGTTGTATTGATCTTATCAGTTTCTGACTTTAATTGCAGGGAAAAATAATAAGATGCCAACTAGGGTTTATGGATCTGATGCTGGTAACGTAGATGAAGAAACGAAAAGGTAGTGCCTAGGTCTTTACTTTATGTTTCATTGAATCTCCTTTTAGTTTCCTGCATCCACCTTCTTAAAGCATTGTGATCCATACATCTGTTACTGTTGATTAGAATCAGTTATGATCATTTCTGTTCAAGTTGATGTCAGTTCATGGGTCCAGTCTCTAATGTTATTCTTTTGTTTGTTTTTTTGTCAATGAGAAGAGTATACATTCCGAACTATCCTCCAAAAGAAGTTCAGCAATGGCGTCAAGCTCGGCGTAAGAATTTTCCAACGAAACTCAACGTTGAAAAGGTTTAGAGCAGACATCCCTCTCTCACTGACTTTTGATTTATTGAAATCCATTCCCTTGAGGGAAGATATTGAATGCAAAGTTGGCTATTTCCAGAAAGTAAAGAAAAGTGATTCAAGCGGCAGCCTTGACGATGAAGCTAAACTACGTCGTCAGGTACCTTTTGTTTTGGGTCGTCACCTTGTTTTTTTTCACATCTTAGACACAATGTTTCACTAATGGCGAAATGATCTATACATGATCTGCGCTATGGTGTAAAATTCATGAAGGCTGAGGCTCAAACCACCATTAAGATCAGCATAATTCATTAATCTTCTTGAAAATCAAATCGCTTTAATGATTGTTCATATCACTAAGCTTGTTATAATCTTCCCATAGTCTACTCATAATATGCTTTTTGTTTTTGCATTGCAGCAACTCCGGGAAGTTTTAGCAAAGCAGCGTGAGTTAGGTGTTGAAGTAGCAGAAGTTCCTTCACATTATTTAGCCAATCCAGTTGAAGAAGACAACAATGGACACTTCCAACACAAAGATGGCAAAAAGGGAAGATTTAAACAGAATAAGAGAAAGTATGGTGGAAAAGACAAGTTTAATAAAAAACGGAAGTCCGAAGACAAAGATTCATCTCAAGAATCTTCTTCCATTACGACGAGAGAACCTACATTGCTTGAGAAGCTCCTAAGCGCTGACATAAAGAGAGACAAGATCCAGTTGTTACAGGTTTTCCGCTTCATGGTAATGAATTCATTCTTCAAGGAGTCGCCAGAGCAACCTTTGGAATTTCCTGTGGTTATGGTAGAAGAGACTGGTTGTGAACATGTTGAGGAAGTTTTATCCGATGATGATGATGATGATGATGATGATGTGGAGGGTGACTCATGTGATGAAGCTTCTGATTGATAAATTTTAAGTTTTCTATGTTTGTGAGCTAAAAAACACATGACGTGTCTTAAGGATTAGCCGCAGTATCAATCTATTTGTGTTTCTTTTCTTAATGATTTGTTGTCTAGAGGAAATAACGATGCAGAGAGTTAACATCTTATTTTATCAGTCAGAACACTGCAACATTTAGTCCGTCACTCAACATATATTTTGAATCTACTAACTTTCTTCTTACAACATCGTTTCAGCAACACTTTAAAACATGCTTTTTTTTTTGTGAAAACACTTTAAAACATGCTCAAACCTATTTACACCGATACTACTTGATGTATGTAACAATTATTTAATCCTAGATAATCGAACTTAAGGTAATAGAATAAATAAATAATAACAATGACACAATAAGTAAAAAAAAACCCTCTCAGAACCAGTTCCATGGATGTTGAAACTCATCACAACACCAGTTCTTGAAGTCTCCGTTTTTGCCGATCAACAAACCCAAATCATCAATCTCCAAAAGATTGTCCATCTCCAAATACCCTGTTTCCACCTCCACCTCCGGCCTATGCAACTTTTCTCCACCTTCGTCACTAGGAACCGACACACTCTCCTTATTGTCTGACGAGCCACACGATGATGACACGTCACATTCCGTCTTATTCTCTTGCCCCACAAGAAACCTAGACCAAACTCCATTTCGTGTTCCGTAATCTGAAGGAGTCATCATCATGTTCTGCTGTTTCAACTTTGTCGAATACGTTAAGCCACCACCTTCACTGCTAGCATTAACACTTTCTTGATCTTGTGAACTACTTCGTTTTGGTAATAACCAAGAAAAATTCGACTCACTTGAAGATAAGTAATGATTAGAATTATTATGATGATCTTGTATTAAACTAAAACCTCCCAACCACGAGCCACGTGACCCATTTGAAGTACCGAGACCAAGCTCCAACCCACGAACCGTGTCGAGCTTATAAGGCCAAGAACCTGACCCGTGGCCAGAAAAAGACAAGTTCCTATTCACTCCTAGCTTTTGTTGTTGTTGTTGTTGTTGTTGTTGTGGGTGTAACAAGTTGAGTTGAGCCTCGTGTCCATACAGTTTCTTAGCAGCTTCATCGTAAGCCATGGCGGCTTCCACGGAGGTATTGAAAGTGCCGAGCCAGAGGCGGGTGCCACGGTTAGGTTCACGGATCTCAGCGACCCATTTACCCCAAGTCCGTTGCCTAACTCCACGGTAAGTGCACGTAGCGTTTTGTGGACCGCCTTTACCTTTCATGCAACCTTTTCTAGATCTTCCCATGTTTCGTTTCTTGGCTGGAGGTTGCTCTTCTTCCATGGTGGTGTGTTCTTTGAGGTTATTATTTCTAAATTTCAAACTAAATTGGTAATGAGTATGAAAACTGAAGCGTACATTTATATGTATATATTCATGGACAGGTCGTGAGTATACGTATTCTTACGTGGCATGTGTATGAGTTTCTACGTGTGTATCATATATATACACTAAGGAATCTCGCTTTGTTTATTTAATGTCTCTGTGTTACACGAAAGCGACCCCCGACCACTGTTTTGGTTATAACACACGATTTTTTTTTGGCTCTAGACCCTTACAAAAGAAACATTTCCATCATATATTTAGAAATTTGTAGTGTGATAAGATAAATTATTCCACTTGAATATCCGAGTGATGACAAAAATACTGTATATTTTGTAAAGCACAAGCACTATAATTTAACTTAGATTACATTCATATCCAATTTTATCCGTTATATTGCCGTACCACTTACGTTTCTGAGATTTTTGTTCTGATTTTACTTAGGTTATAAGGGTCCGACTGGTTTCCCCGCTACCACCCGCAAACGCAGCTTTTGCGGTTGATGGCGGTTGCTAGCGTTTTGCAACAATCACAAAAATCGCTACAAATCGCTTCAAACCGCTCTCAACCTCTTAAAATCAAAAGCTGGTTTCAGCTATCGTTTGCGTTTGCGGGCGATTGCGGGTGGGTAAAAAAACTATTTTTCTTTTAAATTAAAATTTAAATTAAAATATAAAAATAAAAATAATATAACTAAAACTATATCTAGCTTTTATTTTTTAATTTAAATTCACTAAAAATATCATAATCTATTATAAAAACTTTAAATCAAGAATTTTCACTATATTTTTCAATATTAAATATATAAATATATAAATATATAAATATATAAATATATAAATATATAAATATATA